ATGTATCTTCTGGTCAGTTTGTACTAACAGGTTATTCCAAACCTGTACTTTCATGTATCTTCTGGTCAGTTTGTACTAACAGGTTATTCCAAACCTGTAATTTCATGTATCTTTTGGTCAGTTTATACTGTTAGATTAGTCCAAACCTGTAATTTCATGTATCTTCTGGTCAGTTTACACTGTTAGATTAGTCCAAACCTGTACTTTCATGTATCTTCTGGTCAGTTTGTACTAACAGTTTATTCCAAACCTGTACTTTCATGTATCTTCTGGTCAGTTTATACTAGATTAGTCCAAACCTGTACTTTCATGTATCTTCTGGTCAGTTTGTACTGTTAGATTAGTCCAAACCTGTACTTTCATATATCTTCTGGTCAGTTTGTACTAACAGGTTATTCAAAACCTGTAATTTCATGTATCTTCTGGTCAGTTTACACTGTTAGATTAGTCCAAACCTGTAATTTCATGTATCTTCTGGTCAGTTTATACTAACAGTTTATTCCAAACCTGTACTTTCATGTATCTTCTGGTCTGTTGCTAAAAATTCCTCTATAATACAATCAAGACTTATCACAGATATATTAATTGAATGATGTCAGGTAATAGTTAGATATGCATTTTTATGTAAAAAATGTTGGATTTGACATCTAAATAACTTAGAAAAAAATTACATTTACTCAACATTGTAGCATATCCTTTAGTTCGAATGACTAGTTTTAATTATTTGAAATGTACATACATGCTTAAAACACTGGTAGTTATATTACTACATGCTTAAAACACTGGTAGTTATATTAGCTAATAACAAGTTAGCTAGGTTCTTGTTAACCATTCTGATAACTAATAAAAATATTGGAAAAATAATTTCTATCGAAACACATACACAAAGTATTTAAGAAACATGTTTATCAATTCTATGTGATAATTAAACTACCGCTGATGTTTGTTGAAACATGTGGTTGTTACAGTCTCTTTAATTTAAAAAAAATATGAGCAACAGATAGAAAGGATTTAGAAATATGAAAGAGAGGATATAAAAATATCAAAAAAAAGGATAAATTTAATCATTTTTTAACCTGCTGTCCATCAGGACTTCTTCTTGCTTAATAAAGCTTCATAAATATTAAACCTAATTCCTGATCGAGATGAGTCGATCTTTCAACATTTTACATGCTAGTGTAAAACAATACACATAATCCTTTAAAAAATATGATGTTAAGAGCAAGAAACAATACCTTACAACATTCTAGAGCAATTATTATCAACGTGTAGCGTAAAAAATAAAACTATTCCAGGAACCTTTAGCTTATAATGGCACATTTAACTCAAATAGATGTAACAGATAAGTTTGTTTTTATGATACAGGATATACATTTTCATTCTCTATATTGTCTTACGATCTTTGGCAAATAGCTGACAAAAAAAGTTAACACTGAAAAAAATACAATGTAAAACGTACACTGCATACCAGGTGTACGATTACTTTGTATAGAAAATCATTACAACAAAAAACTGTTTATGATTTGCAGCTAAAGTATTACATATTCTTAAAAAAAGTATATGCTTCTTCCTTTAAATACCTAATCTGCTAATGTCATGAAAAGGATTTAACAGTAAAATTAATCAACTTTACCAATTACAAAATCAAACTGAGAATTCTCAATAAGTCTGAGATGTTCTTAACTCGTTAAATTAGACATCTATTTTTGGTTTATAGTTAAATGAAATGCCACAAAACTGCACGGAGCATTTCAGAACTTGATATAAAAAGAAATATATATATATGTGTGACTAAGAAGATAAAACGAGTGTGTAATTCTAGGTTTCACTATTCCATATGACTACTTCCTCCCACATAAAAAGAAAACAGTCCATTTACTAACATTGGTCTATCTAAGTACACGATCCACATTCCTTCACCATAACTGCGTAAAACACCACCAAGTAGGCTGAATGATTCAACACTATCACCACATTTTGACTCAAGTTCAACAGCTTCTAGAAGATCAAAACCCGTCTGAACAGCTTTAGACCCTGAAGCTAGTCCTAGCGTAATGTGAGCTCTTTTCCCTCGGCCCTGAACAGGCTGAAATCTGCTAGAACCAATCAAAGATTCATTCGACAAGGTACACAAAGTAGGAATGCAACTTGAGCAGGGTGGAATAAAATTCCAACCGTTATTTAATTCCGAGCTTCCGCGGTTTGGAGCACCTGTCATCCCTTGCCTGGGTGTCTTGAGGCCACCTGACAGGGCATCCAACCCTTGCTGGAGTGGTGGCACACTGTTATAGTCGTTCTGACACCAGAGTTCAAGTTCGTCCTTCGTGAGAGAAACTCTGGCTCCAAACGTTGAAGGAGTGATAACAAATCCCACAATTCCTAGCTCAAATACTGCACCATACGCCTTCTGAACAACCCCTTGTTCTAGATATACTTGGGCTTCTTGCTGTTTGCTTCCACAGAACTTAGCTGTACAGTGTAACATCAGTGGTTGTCTTGAGTTATGAGTCATGCTGTAGTAACTATATATATCTAAGAAAGTGGGAAAAATTAGACGGTAAAAAAATACATACAGAAACCAATAATTATAAGTAAAACAAAGTCTGAATAAGAAATTTTCAACCAGATAGTATAGTGGTGATTTTGAGATAAATAGTAATATCTGTAACTACATAAATTTGTTTAAAAATATTTAATTGTTGGAAGTTTTAAAGAGCAAAAGGTTGAAAATTACTGAACTCAATCAAAAGGGACTCCAATAGGTGTAGTGGCCTTCTACATTTTGATCAGTAAAACAATCCTTTAAAAAAAAAAACATTTACAAAAACGTCTTCTCTGGCATTAAATTTCAAGCAGTTTTATTTCATATAATCACAAAATACATTAGTGAACTGAAACGTTGAACTTAAACGGTACAAAAATTATGTAATGAGCATTTGAATGTTTTTGTAGAGAGTCTACTGTGCACATGTATATTTGTCATCACAACCTACGATACAGACAAGAGGGTTAAATTTTACGTTTGATAATATAAAAGATTCTGACAAAATCCAGTATCTTCTTACCTCTGCAATTACTCAGTATCAAATGTTCTTGAAATTCTGTGAAAAACTTCTCAACTTTCATACAGTTTTCCAAGAAGACCTTGGCAATAATTAGAAAGTTTAAAGAGTCACAGTGGTTCAGAAACCAGCCAAAATATAAAGGATGGACAAGTTCCCACTGCTCGAGACGCCTTTGCAGCATCTCTGTCGCTATACCATGAGAATTTTTTGAGGCAAGTACTTCTGGATCAAACTTCCATGGTGTCTTCGGCTCAACAAAAAGTTGTATATAACCTTCTCTATGAGCGAGTTCTCTGTAAAAATCCATTTCCCAGCGACGAACATTAGTGTTATCTATGATGACTACAGGTGTACTCATTCTACACACTCGTTCTGCTTTCTCCTGACAAAACTTGTGGGCATAATCCAACTTGCTCCGTTCAAATCTGTATATTCCGTTTTTGCAAAAGTACTGGTCGGCTGAGCAGACAATACAGGATTTTCCATACATCTCCTCCAGTTTCGAAACAATGTAAGACTTTCCACTTCCTGGTAGGCCTCTCATTATTACCATCACTCTGGATCCCTTGATATATCTCACAGTCTTGTCATCCTATGTTGAGAAACAACTTTTCAAATCAACGTGATTCCTCACTATGTATAACACTGATGTACATGGTTACAGCACTGCCGTACTTTACCTAATAAACAGTAAAAACAACGTACAGAAAAATACATTTACACTTGTCAAAAGAATAAAGTGAAAGTTTCTCGAGCCACGATAAATAGCTAATTTTTGTTACATCATCAAGTTTTCCAGGATATGTGATTCTGATTTTACATTGTTCTTGAATTTTGTTTATTCCACATCATCAGCAGCAACTATGTTACGTAACTATGTTCCAACATGAAACCAGTAAACACGATACATGATTTAAAAAAAACTGATAAAGGGTTTAAAAAACATGATAAATTTGTACTTGAATTGTATTAAATTTCACATTTCTGAACTGTATGTAATTTTCATCATTATGAACAACTAGTGAAAATTTTTCTTTTTTATTCAAAAAGTGTAGTAGCTAATTCTTATCAAAAAGCTAAAAATACAAAAACTTAATAATCTGTTCTTAACATTCAAGCTGTATAAGAAGGGTGTTAGGATTAAACTTTTATTTCAAGAACATATTAGAAAATACAATGTTATATTAAATCTGTGATATTTCAGAGTACAGTACTGCCGTGCAAGGAGTGTACGTCTAGTAGAACATACATCAGTAAAGTCCAAAACCCATTTTTACATCTCTATTCAAGTGACAAGACATTATGATAAATGAACCACTATTAAACTTAGCATTTCAGTCTATCTTAAACATGTGTAACTTCAAATTTCAAAGTAACACCTAAGATACGATTATGTGTACACAGCACATGCCAAAGGTCAATTAACCAATCACACGACACATCAGTATATGTCCAATTTACATACAAATTAACTAATGGAGTTGAAAAACATTATTTTTAACTGTCATAGTTAAAATATTATATTTGAACTATTTTTATGCAGAGTGTTACACTCAACCATCATTTTACACTATTTTGTGCAGTGTTACACTCAACCATCATTTTACACTATTTTGTGCAGTGTGTTACACTCAACCATCATTTTACACTATTTTGTGCAGTGTTACACTCAACCATCATTTTACACTATTTTGTGCAGTGTTACACTCAACCATCATTTTACACTATTTTATGCAGTGTGTTCCACTCAGCCATAATTTTACACTATTTTGTGCAGTGTTACACTCAACCATCATTTTACACTATTTTGTGCAGTGTTACACTCAACCATCATTTTACACTATTTTGTGCTTTGTGTTACACTCAACCAATCAAATGTGTACTGGTCTTAATTAGATCAAATCTGTGTAATTTCATTATGTTTTTTTAACTTTAACTCGTCACATCTAGACAATGAAATGCAAGTTTCGTATACAAAGAAAACAATCAGTAGATTTGAGGGAATTTCAGTCATCTCATGTGGATCATCCAATATCGAACTTTTAATTAATGAAAGTTTATCTATTATAGATGAACTCCCAACTTTAAAGAACAACACAGCGTCGCTACAATTATGTCTGTTCCGAATAATTTGTGTAATATTATTACAGTTATTTCACTTTTCTATTCTTTCTTGTTTATTTAGTTTTTTTAATTGAGTTCATTGTTTTACTCTGTATTTTAATTAGTCTTTATAAAATGTTTTAACTTTATAGATTTTTGTACCTAATATTTTATCCTGTTCAATATAGCTTGCTGAAGATGGAATACGTACATTTCGAAATGTTCAAGAATTAAATGTCTGTTACTATACACACACACACACGTGTGTGTTAAATGTTCCTTGTTGCTGCTGTTGTTCTACTGTTTATCATTAAACTTCGATTCCCGTTCAATGAATCTGTTGCTAATTTAAATTCTAAGATGAAAAGAATTATCTGTTTTTAATGTTTTTACAAAAAAAATGTCTCACAACAACATTTTGGAACTTTGACCACACAAGAAATGATAAGAAATTTTGAAGCTGAAACTAGATTATTAAATTTCATGCGATTTAGTTAAATATTTTAACAGTTAGAAAGAAAACAAAAGATCTTGGGATATTATTGATACTTTTCTCAATCCCCCTAAAGGGATAATTATCAAATCTCTGAAACAATGGCCTGAATTTTGAGCAGTTACCATGTCTCTCAATCAGCAACCTGGGTTTTACTCAAATAACAGTGTTTTTTGTTTTAATTCTGAAGGCTACAGAGATTGATTTGACTTTTCTGTTGTAATTGAGTGGTTAAAGTAGTATTAATGACATAATACTATAGGAGAATTTTTGTTTTATATTTATTTCTCAAGTGAATGATTCTTTAAATACGTAGATGTTGTTAAAAACAGAGTTAAGTAACGTACATGGAGTTTAGGTTAAAGTGTGTGTTTTACTTCCAGTTTTTATAATATTAATTTGTTTATAGTCGTTATTATTGCATGGTTAACACCTGTTTACAATATTCATCCACTTTTAGTTGCCGTTGGTTTGAGGGTTTAGAAAATACAATTAACCCTTCTTTAACATGCAAATAAAAACAAGTATTTTGTGTACATTCAGTTAAGTAGAATGTACATTTTGAAAAGTTAAGACTAAATAACGTTTTTTTGTTTTTAGCCATAAGTGTGGCTATTGCAGTCAGCAAAATAAATTGTCAAAAGAGACATGTTAATGAAAATAAATCAAGATGAAATTGATTGAATATATAAATTTGAAATTTCTAATGAACAGCGAAATAATTTAAATTCATCAAACAATCCTTCGATAATTTAAATTATAAACACCCTAACTTAAATCTTACGCTTGAAACTGAAAAAGAATGTAAATTGCCTTTTCTTGATATCCAAATCAGCAGATTAGATAATCATTTCCCAACATCTGTTTATCATAAGAAAACACGTACAGGCTTAGATACTTGATTCGACAGCTTTATTCCGAACTCCTTTAAACGTAACCTTATATTTAGTCTTCTCAATATAGCATATAACATATGATCTACCTACCTCTCTCTCTCTCTCTTTATACTGACATCATCACCTTAAAGAACATTCTAATACACAATAGCTATCCCTAGAATTTTATTCAAGCCCTAACTTGCAAGTTCCTTTCTCACAGAATTGAATCCCCCAAAAAATCATACATTGTAGACAAATACCAATTCAGACTGATTGTTCCTTTTTCAGGTAAGCAAAGTTTCATAGTGAAGTCACCAATTTTAAGAATAATTAAAATGTTTTATCCACAAGTTCAAGTTCACGTAGTGAAAACAACAAACCACTCCATCTTGGTAACGTAATTTTTGTTTTGTGACTGGATGTAGCTACTATAGAGAAGAAAAACAGAATTAAATATGAAGTTTAAAAGACTTGGGAATAATCCACAGGGCTGGGAATTTTTTCATAGTATGTTTATGTGCTATTTTTGTTGCTGAAAATGTTTTTAAATTAAATTGTATTTAGTTGAGATCTATGGCAATAAGACATCAGGTAAGCCTTGTTAGGTTTAGAGAATACAGTAGTGATGGCAAAATATTCTGGTGACTCAAATCCTTACTTATTGAATGTTACTGTTAAATTTATTCTTTTCCAACAATTTAGATATACATAGTAACTTATCATTTATTGAAAAGAAGTAAATTTAAATTGACTTTGACCAAAAATATTGCTAACAAAAATATTGTTACTTAGCCTGATCTGACATTTAATCACACCATTTTATTCACTTTACCCTGATGGCAGGAGACCTGAACAGAGAAGGAAAAATCACAAAAGAAACAATACTTACAGTGCCTTGCAAAATTATTCAAAGTTTCCACATTTTGTTACCGTCCGAGCTTGCAATCATAAAACTTTCAAATGGGACTTTATATTTAGAATCTACTCCAAATCGAGAAAGCTAAAAGAATGCTGATATTATGTAAGTAAGTTAGATTTTCAAAGAAAATTAGAATATTTTCAATTGTATAATATTCAATTATTCTTTTTCAATAATGGTTTCTTTCTTGCCACTCGCCCATACAGGCTTTGTGTAAGGACCAGGATATTGTCAATGTATGAACACTGACTCCCATCTCAGACATGGAACTTTGCAAATCTTTCAAAGTCACTGTTGGCTTCACAGTGACATCCCTAACCATTTTCCTGCTTCCTCGGCTGTTAAGTTTGGATGGTATGAAGTACCTTCACTTCTTAATGATGGATTTCACTGAAGTCAAAGGAACAATCAGCAACTTTGACATTTTCTCGTAACTTTCTCCTAATCGATGCTTCTCTGCCATTTTATCCCTGACTTGTTTGGAAAGCTCCTTGGTCTTCATGGTTGATTTGTTGTATCACTATGTGAGTTGTGACTTGAATAGATGAACTTATTCTGAGGTTAAGTTAAATCACTTTGATTAGACACAGACAGAGACCATTACACTAATTTTGTGACCTTTCAAGCTAATCTTTTGCACCTGCTCTGATTTAGGGTTGCCACAGCAAAAGGGGATCATCTAGTTTCTCAGTCATTGACGTGAGGTTTGTTTATCCCTTTCTGGACTGCCCACTAGTGCCTCAGAGGTAAGTCTGAAGGCTTATATTGTTAAAAACCAGGCTTATATACTTGTGGTGGGCACAACACAGATAGCCCATTGTGTAGCCTTGCGCTTAACAACAAAGAAAACCTTCTGGATCACTGAGTATCTTTCAGATGTTGAGTGCAAACCTGTAAATTATACTTCAAAATTTTTTTAGAACTGATATTTTATCTTCTTGTAACAGTTAGTGTAACGCACAGCTTTGCAGAGTTTCTCCTGTAGACAACAGATTTATAGATATTTTTAGGGTTTTTCTGCCCATCCTAAAGCAACCTAAGGCATAGGTTTTTGTACGCAGAAAAATTATGCTTTAGAAATATATTTAATTACAGTGTCTTGCAGTAGTAGTCACCCCCCTACCAATAATATCACATTTTGATGAAATACAAATAATATAAACAACTTTTTAATGAACTTGTTTCTATTCAAAACTCTAATGATCAAACTTAACAATGTTATGTGTGAAGAAGGTTGAATGTCAGCAAAACATGCAAAGAAAATATATAAATTGATATTTGCTGATTGTATAAGTGTTCAGCCTCCTAAGACAGTACTTGGTGGAAGCACCTTTGACAGCAATTACTGCTTTGAGTATTTTTGGATAGGTCTCTACCAGCTTTGCATAATGGGATGGTGTAATTTTTGGCCATTCTTTCTGGCAAAATTGCCCAAATTCTGAAATGTTTGTTGGGGATCATTCATGGACTGAAATTTGCCACAAATTTTCTATTGGATTCAAATCAGGACTTTGACTGGGCCACTCCAGGACATTCACTTTCTTCTTTTGAAACCACTCCAGTGTGGCT